ATCTGGATTAAGTCTGCCACTATTATTATCTCTCTTAATTTTTCATTCATATTTTTTTTTGGCTTTTTTGCCATATATCAAAATATAAATTATTAGTTATCCCAAACCAAACATCAGTAAGTATCAAATTAATACCATCCCTAAGTATTTTATCAATTTTTCCTGCCCCAGGTTTGCAAATAGTTTTGTATTCTCATATGGTTAGATTATAAAGACTATCTTTAGATAAATAATTATTAATTTCTATTGGTGCTCTCTTATCAGAAAAGATTTGATAATTTCCTGGTTCGTTTCCTGTAGATCTAATCAGGTTTTTAACGTATTGTTTATTGAGATTATTCTTTTTCACATAAAACACATGATTGAATACCTTGTTATTGTTGTTATTGTTATTATCCCTTTTTATATATGACACGTGTTTGAGCCCCTTGTTACTATTGTTGTTGTTATCACTATTGGCAATAGTTGCAATTTTTTTGCCACTGGTAATGACTTCTTGTATTGATTTTTCTAAAGCTTTAACCCTATCCATTTCCATACTTTTTGTTTTATGAACAGTATTATAATACATTGTTCTTGTAATGTGACTAGTAAAGTTTTTTTCATATTCTATACATTGATATGTTTTAGGAGATGTAGATTGTTTAGATAAAGGTTGTTTATCTACTTCTGTTTCCAGTTTTTTTTCTTCCTGAGACTTTCTCTTTCGAGATCATCTTTTTTTTTTCTTTTTTGAAAAGCCTGGATTTGGTTGAAAGGTAAGAACTTGTCATTTAGAGATATTAAAACCAATTAAAGAAGCCCTTTCTATCTATTTGAAGAAGAGTTCTTTTATTTGATTTAACTGTTCAGTTGGTCCAGAGTATTTGAATTTGGCACTGTAGAGAAGACTTATCTCTATAGTAATATTTATTATATTTAAGTTTTTTTGCCACTGGTAATGACTTCTTGTATTGATTTTTCTAAAGCTTTAACCCTATCCATCTCCATACTTTTTGTTTTATGAACAGTATTATAATACATTGTTCTTGTAATGTGACTAGTAAAGTTTTTTTCATATTCTATACATTGATATGTTTTAGGAGATGTAGATTGTTTAGATAAAGGTTGTTTATCTACTTCTGTTTCCAGTTTTTTTTCTTCCTGAGACTTTCTCTTTCGAGATCATCTTTTTTTTTTCTTTTTTGAAAAGCCTGGATTTGGTTGAAAGGTAAGAACTTGTCATTTAGAGATATTAAAACCAATTAAAGAAGCCCTTTCTATCTATTTGAAGAAGAGTTCTTTTATTTGATTTAACTGTTCAGTTGGTCCAGAGTATTTGAATTTGGCACTGTAGGGAAGACTTATCTCTATAGTAATATTTATTATATTTAAGTCTTTGGAAACAAAAACTTCACTTTTCATTGTTTTTGAAAAAACTTTCTTTTAAAGAAATTTTCCAACAGGATTTGAATTTCTAGTTTAAAAATATATTTGTTAATAATTAATAAAAATATTGAAAAGAATTCTTTGAATTTAAAGAAATTGAAAGAAAGGTATTTAAAGAAATATTCAAATCAAAAATATTTAATTATTTCTTTAATATTATATATATATGTGTTTAATAAAAAAAATTTAATAAATTTGAATCAAAATAATTAAAAGAAAAGAGAAGAGAAATTTTAAATAATAAAAAATTAAATATGATAAGAAAATTTTAAAAGAGATAATAAAGAATTTTTAAGTTTCCTAATTATATTATCTAGATTTTTAAGATTATTTTTCTTTTGATTAGAAACAAATATAAAATTTTTTTGAAAAAATTTTAAAGATTATTAAAAAAGTTTGGGAGAATAATAAGATTTTATTATATTTGCTATAGTACTTTTGTTAAGAATAGGAATTTTATAGGAATTTTAACTTTTATTTATAAAAAACTAAATTTTAGAATAAGATAATTTTTTTGTATTTATAAGAAAGTTCATAATAGTCTAGTTTATTGTTTTTCTTAAAATAGCATAAATAATTACATTTATATTTCATGATTTATATTTGAAGATATAAATTAAAATTGAATATATTAATATATCTCAGATAAACAATAAACAGGCTAGTATTTAACAATAGCTTAATCTTGAATTTGACTTTTCTATTGAGTTTTATAATTTTATTTTTTCTTTTATAGATTCTTTAGAACTGACTTTTAAGTTTTTTATACTTTTTTTAATAGTTTTTTTTAAGCTTTTCAAATTTGTTAAATTTGAAAAATTTTTATCTTTTGCTTTTATCTTGATAAAGATAGTTGAATATAGTTTTAGTTTGACTTTATTACTTGATTATTAATTAATATCCAATAAAAAGTTTATAAGTTTCTCAGAACTTATTTTAATAATGAAGAGTTTAATAAGTTTTAAAAAACATTAAATTTCTTTTCTTTTTCTTTTGTATTGATAATTATATTGTAATTTTCTATTCTTGGGACTTTTAAAATTAGATATTTCTTATATATTCAAAGTTTTTTAATAGTAATATCCAGCCTTTTTTTGTTATTGCTACTGTTTATTGGACTTTTATATTTGTGCTATCATTTGAAAATTAATTAATTGGATAAATAGATAAAAGAAATTATAATAATATAAGAATAGAATTATTGTATTGTTATGAATTATTAATTATAGATGAAATATTGAAATTATTTAAAATAAAAATAATAAAGTTGTTTGTTTTTCTTTTGATAAATATAAAAAATTATAGTGTTTTTGATTTTTATATTTTTTTGAAATAACAAAGTTTAAGTCAATAGATATAAATAAATTATTTTATTTAAATCTTATAAAGAGAATTGATTGTAATTAATTAAATTTTTTAAGTAATTTAATTAATAATTCTTATAATAAGAAATGGATTCTGATTAATTAGTTATTATATTTATAGGGCTCCAAAAAGTACCAAACTGGTATCGAAGTGGTATCAAAATAGTACCAATCTATAGTAAATATAATATATGGGTTGTGACCCACTCATATAAATTTATAGTAAATTAAGTATCGAACTGATATTGAACTGATATCGAACTGGTACCATTAGGAGCCCTATATATTTATATGAAGATCATAATTAATAGTTAGATTATTAGTTAATTAATCTTGAAATCATTGTATAAATCAATTAATAGAAAAGTCTTATTAATAAAAAAAAATATAAAAAGAATGGTTTATATTTATATAAGTGAATTATAATTCCTATATTAAATTTACTATAGATTAGTATTATTTCAATATTATTTTAATATCAATTTGATATTTTTTAAAATCCTAAACTCAATTAATTAATTAAAACTAATAATAATTAATAATTTAATTGATTTTAATTAATATTTTAAATATTTTATTTAACCAAATTAACAAATTTTTTAAACAAAACTTTTTAATTGAATAATAATATTATTATTATTCTTTAATAATCAAATTCTAGAAAAATTTAAATATATTAAATATATTAAACAATATATCATATATATTCAAAAATAAGCTATTATTTTTTACAAAATTTTAAACTTGAAAAATAAGGGGATAGCTTATTTTCAGAGTTTTATTTATTAATCATTATCTGAAATTTACATAAAATTTTAGATTTTAAAAGGTAGAGTAGCTTATTTTCTGAGATAGCTTATTTTCAAACATATACAGTAAACCTCTAAAAAAGGTAAAAAAAAACAATCTGTTAAATAATTATTATTATTGAAATAATTAAAAAAATTTATAAATTATTCAAATATCTATATTATTTTTTTAATTAATTATAATAACTTAAACATAAAATATACTTTTTTTAATATTATTACAAACAAAAAAAATATTATATCTTTTTTTTTTTTATAGTAGAATAGTATTAAATGTAGAACTTTATTGAATAATCATCAATTTTATATTATATTAAACATTGTCTATTGTTATTACAACAGCTAAATGCTAGCCTATTTATTTATTGCCCTAGTGATATTAATAACACTTATTAAGTGGATTTATAAAAAAAAATATTATATCTTTTTATTAAAAAGAATTTATTAATATTAATAAATTTTTTAAAAAGATTATATAAAAAATATAATTTTTTTTATTAACTTTGAAATAAAAATATATATATTATGATTTGTATTATATTTTCTATTTTTTTTTATTAAAAAATATTAATATTAAATTTTATTCTTTTATATTAGCTAGTATTCTCTTTTATTTTATTAAATATACATTATTTAAAAAATTATTTTAATAAATATTTTAATAAGATTTTTTCTACTCTTCTATTTGATTCAAGTAATATACTTTTTTAATTAACATAAAACTTTTATATAAATTTTTAATTTTAAACAAATTAAATTTTATTTAAGTTCTTTATATTTTTAACTTCTGTTATAAATTTGATAATCTTTTTAATAATATTTTAAAATAAACTTTAATTTTTTGATGCTCAAATGATTTTTTAACAAAATACAAAATACTGTTCCAATTTAAAAAAATGAATTTTAAAACTTTTTAATTACAAAACAAAAGGTATTAAGTATTATTTGAACTTCTAATCTATGTTTCAAATTATTTTTTTTATATACTATTTTCTAAATCCAAATATATATATATATTTCTTTAATTCAAAAGATAGTACTGTATATTACTATTTATAAGGTAACTACATTGTTATAAAAGGTTTACTTTTTTAAATATCTTTTCAATATCTTTTTTTTCATCAAAACAAAACTTTCTTCTCACCAAACAAACAATAATTCTTGACATTAACATCTTTCTATTAATTTTAGATTTTATTGAAAATCCACTACTTCTTAAAAAGCACTTTTTAAAATATATTTTTCTTCTTTCCAAATAATAGATTGATATATTCAAACCAATCCAAACAAAACTATTCAATCAAATCCAAAATCATTTTTTCCAAAGGATCTCAATAAAGTAAACAAAATCATAGAAACAAACTCCACAAAATCTAAATAAAAAAAAATTCAGAAAAAAATGTTATCAAAGTTCACAAACACTTCTCCTTTGGCAAAATTCCTGGTGAATGGATTATAATCTTTAAAAAATTTTAGAACTTAAATAACAGAAAATAACATTACCAACAATTGTTTGATTACATCCAATAATTTATAGTTAAAGTAATTATTTTTTTTGTATCCATAATTAATTTTATTTATTAAAAAATATACAGTATATGATTATTACCCCCCAACCTTGGCGCACTTTGGCGCGTTGCCTTTTTTGGTAATTTTAATTAATAAAAACGTGTAGATCAGTGCGCCAGCATGTCGATCCCTTGGCGCATTTATTTTTAAACCTTGGCGCACTCTATTTTTAGAACATGTATGACAATCGCGTAAGTCAATTAAAATAAGAACGCGGTTGATCTTGTTGACGCGATTTTTCGCGTATCGTATGTACGATAAGATTATTATATGTAGGTGCGCTATTCGTACTTTGGCGCACTATCTTTCTCTCTATTTCTGTTAATAATCCCGAACAACAATTAGATCCAGATACTATGCAAGATCTTCGATATATCATATGGCAAGAGGAGCGCGATCAGTCTGGTACTCACCACTATCAAGGTTATCTTGAATTATTTAAGAAAAAAAGACTTGGTGGTGTACGTCAACTTATTCCTCGTGCTCATTTCGAACCACGGAAGGGAACACGTGATCAAGCTATTGAATATTGCAAGAAAGAAGAATCTCGGGTTCGTGGTCCTTGGGAATGGGGAGATTCACGTGGTAAAGGTCATCGTTCAGACCTAAAGAAAGCTTTTGATATGATAAAGAATGGCGCCAGCGAACGAGATCTTATGGAAGAAGACTTTGGAATGTGGGCTCGTAATTATCGAGCCTTTATTCGAGCGAAACGTCTACTCCTCCCACCGCGAGAGTTTAAGTCTAAGGTTATAGTATTGTATGGTGCTACAGGATCCGGGAAGTCTCGATGGTGTCATCAAATCTTTCCCCAAGCATATTGGAAGCCTCGTGGACTATGGTGGGAAGGTTACGAACAACAAGAAGTAGTTATTATTGACGATTTCTATGGATGGCTTCCATTCGATTTTATGCTTCGTCTTCTTGATCGGTATCCGTTAACTGTTGAAACTAAGGGTGGATCGGAAGTATTTAATTCTAAGTATATTGTTATAACATCAAATGTATCTCCTGATAAATGGTATGACTTTAATAAAAATGAAAATATGGTGTTCGAAGCGTTGGACAGGCGTATAGATACAGTAGTAGAGTATAGAGGTATATTTGGTCTTAATGATAGGAGTACCCCTAGTAGTTATGTCAGTGATATATTACGTGGAAATTTGGAAGTAGATGATGTAGGTGACGCGACTATCGAGTTGTAGTGTTGTTTATTTTTTTAAATTTGTAAATAAACTTGTTTACGCGTATTGATTTGTGTTACAATGAATAAGTATAAATATACCCCCTGTCTGTAAGTGCCCCAGTAATTGTCGTCATGGCATATTTCCCTTATCGTACATACCGTCGTAACTATGGATATAAAAAACCATATAATCGTGGATTTCGTTCGTATAATCGGTATGGTAATTACCGTTATAGGTATACTAACACATATAAAAGGTATAATTCTCGTAGGCGTTATCTTGCAAAGAATATGAATTATAGAAGAACTTATACGCGAAGAGCCTATAAGAAGAATAAGAGGTGAGTAGACAGGATTATGTATAACTCTTTGTCTGGTTCGTTAGATAGCGTTTTCGCTATATGGTTGATCGTATACAATGATATGGATATAATCTAGTGTAGTTGTATACTGTCCTATATGGACTTTTGGCTAATCTCTCACACGTTTGTCAAAAGCTATTATTCTAGGAAGCCATACTCTAGGAAGGGTTATGTTCGTAAGGCTATTCTTGCTAAGGGAGTTGTTAATAACAAGTTATTCGTCACTGGATCAGTTGTCAAGAATTATAGAGCAGAGCGGGAATGGTCTGGTGAATCTATCTTTCATTCGTTCCTTTGTTCTAATGCTCGAGTTGGCACCAATGGCAAGGTTTATGTGAAGGGCTTTAGACTTAAAGTGTCCCTTGGAAGAAACATGCAAATTTTTCTTCCTCCTCAAGGAGCTAATCAAGATCCAGAACAGATTTGGGAAGTGCCTTTAAAGATTCGTATAGCAATATTGTCCCATGCCAATTCTATTGTTAATTTTCGGGTTGGTGAAATCTTTGATGATAAAATGGCTGCTCGTGCGGATCATGATCCTATGAAGAATCGGTTTAATCAGAAGATGCATGTGATTAAGGATTTTACTGTTTCTCTTGGTTTTAATAGGTCTTGTTATACGTATGATAAGTATATATCGATAAATAGATATATTGATTATACTGTTGACAGAAGAGATACTGGTTTATTTGTAGCATATGCCACACGTTATTTTATGTTGTTTGTATGTGTGGAGGGACCACCTGATGTTCGTAGGGTACAAAATGTTCAAGTTGCTACGTCAGAGTCACAGTTTACTATATACTATGGTGCACGTGTTCGTGCAACTAATGATGATGATATTTTACATGTTGCACATGATAATGATCCTGCTTATGAAGAAGATGAGCGTATGCGAGATGAAGGTTATGGTTAAATAAAGTATATATTATTTGTGATATAAACAAGGATACCCTTGACAATGTGATTATTATAAATATGTGATATCTAGTATTGTTATTGCGTTACTGCGCGGAAGCGCCCCCTTTATGTAGAGTGTAAGCCAGTAAAAAGTGACCAACTGGTACAGATTAGATTAGCCGCCGGCTAGGCCATCGCGAAGCGAGACTATGTTGCTTTGTAGCAGGGGTGGCGTAGCCCCCTGCTAGAGGGACTCTAGCATAATTTATATATATATATATTTAGTTCTAATATTGTTATTACATCATCTCAAACGAGATGGGGTTGGGGGGTCCATTATCGATGGATGGTCACATCACGTGACCCAGTATTACAAAAGCATTAATTAAAGCAAAAAAATTTTCATTATTACAAGACAACTTTTTATTTCTATCTTCTGAAGGTCAAATACCTAATTCCTATGAAAAAAGTATTAATATACAATAGATTTGACTAAAACTAAAGTTAAAAACTTGATAAAATCTATGATACTAGTTACACAATCCATTGCTTTTAATTCTTAAGAAGAACAGTTTAATTAAATCATACTTTTACAAAATGATTTCAAAAAAATTATAATGGGTTTGAAAAAAACTATTACTAAAGAACAACAAATTTTGAAGAAATCTCTTGAACCAGAAAAACAAAAAGCTGATGATCTTGCTTTGGATCATTTTTTAAATAGTATTTCTGATGACAGAGATTTACTATTATTTGAGAACTATAAGTATAATCCAGTTGAAGATTTGAGATTATAGCTTAAATAATTGGATATCAATCAAGCAAAAATAGCTCAAGTAATATATGCAGTTTTAAAATTATCTCAATATAAATATTCAAACTGTAGTAGAACAGGTCATAATTCTCACAACTGCTCTAAAAAGAAAAAGAAAAACAAGTTCAAACATTTTAGCAAGTGCAAGTTCAAGAAAAAAGACAGTATCAATATCGCTACTGTAGATTTAGCTTCTAACTCTAATTCTAATACTAATTTTTTAAATAATAAATTTGATTTTGATTTTGGATCTGGTTCTAAATTGGAATCTGATTTTGAGAATAACTTAACTAAGACTGAAATTACAAAAATTATCAATACTATTATTGTCTTGAAAGTACAAAATAAGAAATGTGTCAATTTAAACTTACAGTAAACAGTGTTTTTCTATAAAATACAAGAAAATTGAAACAAAATAAAGAATAAGAGAAGAAAAGATTCAAAAAAATATTAACAGAAATTAAAAAAAAATAAAAATTCACAATTTAATATATTGAAACTTTCAGTCCCTTGCCTAACAGACTTCAAAATCACTAATAAAAATAATATTTAGCCCTCAATAATTTAATTTATTTAACATATGTTATGTTTCAAACACTATCAAATAAATTAATATAAACAATTGAATATTATTGTTTCAGTCAAATTTTATAACTCTGCCCTGATATTGGAATTAAAAGATAATAACAATATACAAAAATATATTTCAAAAGAAAAAAAATAAAAATATGAGAATAAAAGTGTGATAAAATAATAATTTTATTAGAGGAGATTATAAGAACATTACAAGATATCAAAAAAAAAGCACTCTTTTCCATTTACATGTGGCATAGCAATCAATCTGAACAAGAAAGATAGCAAGCAATCCAGGAAATAGTAAAGTTCCTAGCAGACAGTTAAACAGAACTATCAGATACAAAAGAAGGACAGTCAAGGAAGCAACTCTGCTTATGACCCAATCATATGCAAAGAAACCCAACACCTAAACAAAACAATTACAAGTCTCTACAATTCAAAGCAATACTAAACAGCTCCAAAATCTAATAGCCCAAAACCAAGAAACTTCGCACACCAACTAAACAAGAAAACATAGTCAAGCAGAAGCCCAATAGAATCTATCCAAAGAAAGTTGAAACAAACAGGTAGTGAGAGAACAAGATAGCTGGGAAAACCAGGATACCCACAGAGGCTATCTAAATCCTCAAGAACAGGATAAACTCTTGGAAAAAAGGAATAGAAACATCAGAATCGATGACACAGATACAGAAATGAATAGTAAAAGCGAAACTAAACAAGACCAACCATGGTTTACCATGCTAAAAGGGAAAGGCAGACAAGTTGGCCTGAGGGACACAAATAAATCAAGACTCATTTCTCTATTCAATAGAGTGGTCAGATATAGTAAAAAAAGATACAAGATAGGAGTATTAGCAAATGAACTTACAGGAAAAACAACATATCAAAAAATCAAACAAGTCATTCTGGCACTCAATTCTCCCGAAGGATTGCTTTCAGTTCACAGTGAAGGAAAAAACGAGGAGATGCAGATCATAGCTGTTTTTGGGGACCAGCAGGCAGTGGAACATGCAACCACTATCAAACTACCAAATACAGACAACAAGTTCCTCCAACATATGCAATCAACAAGCCAACAGATTGAAAAAGACAAATCTATTGTAGTTTGGGACATTTCCCTAAACACAAAAATTGTGGAAGTCAAATAAGCATTTGCCAAATATGGAGCAATTACCAAAATCACAATGAAAACCCAAAATCTTTGGCAAAGTGCCATAATTACTTTTGATAGTGCAGCAATCAAAAATAAATTAGTGGAACAAAGAAATACACTAATCAAAGGAGACTTAGTAAGAATAAATGATGCAATGTGAACCCTACCACAAATGAAAGAGAAATATGAAATCACTGTCAAATTAGTCAACTTATTACCTAACACAACAGCATGAAACCTAAGAACATTATTATATAAAGCAAGGGGCTCACATATTATATTCCAAGAACATCAGGTCTAGCATATAAATGGAAAAGATTTGCAGTTATCAGCTTTGCCAATAAAGAAGACCTTCTAGAAGCAGTATAGAATCAATATATTCTAGAAGAAACAAAAATATACTTTGCACCAATCAGTACCAAATTATACACTATTTGCAACTCAGATATTCACCTTGCCAAGAATTGCCCATTCAAAATAAGACAACAACAATGGAATAATTATTACAAAGAACAAGCAGCCAAATTTGGACCATTATATAACAAATACAAACCCACCAAAACAACAAAAATTCAGAACCTGAACAACCCTAAGCCAAACAATAACATCAAAAACGGATCCTTTGCAGATGCAGTTAAGCAATCAAAAATTATCAACCAAAATCCAACAACTAGCGAAATCGTCAAAGCACTTTAACATATTCAATTACAACTATCAGAATTAAAAGAAAAAGTAACAGAGATCGATGAAAGAATTACAAATATCGAGTTATACAATAAGGAGTATTATGAAACAATGAAGACAGAACAGTCTAATACCTCAATAAGCAGCAACAACAGCCAAGAAGACACCACTTCACAACAATAACCACAAAAAAGAACAATTGAAGAAATCAGAAATCAATAAATCAACTTATTCGCATTAGTAGATGGAATTCAAAATAGCATTAACTGCCTAGTGTCAACAATTGACACAATAACAGAAGACCAAACCTCTAACACTCCCTTTATTCAATAATATGGAAAATACGAATAGCCAAGATAACAAACAAAATAAAGACAACCAGAATACAAAGATCATCGAGAAACAATTAAACATTTTAGAGACACAAATTAATAACCAACTCAGTTGGTTAGAGTCAGATTTTAATGCAGAAAACAATAATACATTAATAATATCACTGGAGTCACAATCATCAGAAACAAACTAAAATAAAATAAACAAGAACTATTCATACAATACATAACAATCAACAAATATGGATAAATCAATACCACTAGCAGACAACCTACCTACATGGTATATCACTACTTGTAATATAAGAGGCATTAAGTCAAATCCAAGCAAACTAATCCTATGGCAAGAATGGGTCGCAAAGTCAAATGCAGATATTATTATATTAATAGAAACAAACCTAACCAACAAAGAAGAGAAACATATAGTTTTCAAAGGATACCATACAATTTGAAGCAATAACAATATCCAAACAAAAGAATTTGGCGTTGCACTCCTGATTAAACAAGACCTGGCAAAACATATTTACAAAAAACAAACATGACAAAACAGAATCGTAATAGTTGACCTTCTCTTCAAACAAAAAAACAAGCTTAGAATTATCACCACATATGTCCTCGCAGAATCACATACAAGCAACAAAATGTGCACAAATGAAGCCATTCGACTCTGTAAAGAAGCAAAATTGCAACAAAGTTTAATACTGGTAATGGGCAACCTAAACTCAATGGCAAATCCAAGTATCGATATACCAGCATCAAGAACCACAACAGATAAGCAATATAAATCAACAAGAGAACTAATTTCATGGCTATCATCAAATAATTTCATTGACACTTTCAGAAAAGCCAATTCATATTGTATAGTGCATATATGGAAAAATTCAACAAGTATATATAGCAGAATAGATCAAATATGGATTTGTCCATCTCCACTCTGGCTAACAACAGATATATATATCCAAGACATTAACACAGATACCCTTGAAACAGAATATTGATTAACATATACTCTCTTATATTACTAGAACACACAATCAACAATGAATACACATATAAAAAACTATCCAAACATAAGATACCGATGGCATGACACCTCTGACGAAGCATGGGCAAAATTCGATGAAGATGTATATCTACAACTTCAACAATAATAGAAACTAACAACAAAAGAGAAAGACTTAGCAAACAAAATGTGATATCTAATAAGAGAAACAATACTCCAAGCGGCCAGCAATAACATTAAACAATACAGAGAAAGAAAAAGAATTGCAAAACCACCAAAACCACAAAACATATGCTATAAGACAACTATCTAAGCTCAAAAACTTAGGAGAAAAAGCCAAGCGGAAAGAAATTCAGAAAGCGGAATTCAGAGAAAAGGTGAAAAAAATCATAAGCAAACTCAAAAACAAACAAGACCTCTCAATAAATAAGCCAAAAGAACCATTCAATAAAACAAATATTAATGAATAGAATCAAAATCTGAAACAAACACTAATAGATCATAAACAAATTCTCAGGAAAATGTATCAGAACAAAAAAACAAAAGCAATACAAAAGCACATCTTATGCAAACAAGCCTACTTTGCCACAAATAAAAAACAGATAATAAGAAATCTTTTGAATAATCCCAAAAGACACATCATTTTTGACAAACTAATTGCCTATGAACCAGAAGAAAAAATTATCATCAAACCAATCAAGATACAAGAAGAAGTAAGTAAACATTTTAAAGAATGAACAAGAAAATGCAACACCATAAATATAACAAACACAATATGGAACAAAGAGTACAGACCGATAAAACATATATCAAAATAGTGGTATGCAGATACAACAAAATCAATCACAATCGAAGAAATATAACAAACAATAAAATTCTATTCAACCAAATTAGCACCTGGAACCACAGGTATCCCATATATAGCTCTAAAAAAATTAATCCCAAAGTCACTCTTTTATATTGCAAAACTTTTTAACCAAATACTCAAACATGAAACAATATCAAATGAATGAAAATATGGAAGCATCTATTCAATACCAAAGCCAAAATCTTGGGAGAACAACATCAATATCATAAGATCAATAATCCTATTGGAAACCACCAGAAAAATTTTCACAAAAATAATTAATGATCACCTGACAGCAACATTTAAAATTAATTCTATCTTCTCATCACACAACTGGGCAGCATTACCAGGATGCAGCATATAAGAACCAATATATATTCTAAGAGCC